ATCATTAAATGAATGTGCAGTCGCAGGTATGATCGAAATAGGCGCGGGAAATTAGCAACTAAACGAGCTATTGTCATCAATGAATCTTCCTTCTTTATCCTCCGTATATATATATATATATATATATATATATATATATAATACCCAATTATTGAAAAAATGGGAACTGAACTGAAAAGGACTGTCAAATGTGAAGAACTGTACACAGTGATGGAGAAGCTTGCACGTCTCTAACCAGCTCCGGTCAATCGCTCGTCCCCGTATGACCTCATACCGCATAACAGACGGTCTCCAAGTTACAAGAGCTGGGGTAGGAAGCTCTCCGTCATTGGCCGTACTGACTAGACCTTGCGCCAACAGACTTCCGTTCTTTACCCGTCCAGTTGATTTCTTCAAGAACGTCGTCAATAAACTAGCTGGAAAAGATGCATCGATTGTATGGGTGATTAATTTGAATATTTTTCTATTATGTCAATAAGATCAAAAAATATTATTCATGTAATTTGTGTCTAAATGTAATTTAATATATATATATATATATATATATATATATATATATATATATATATATATATATATATATTTTTTTTTTATATAATATACAACTACTTATAAATATGGTCGTATGTATGCGCATATGTGTTCATTTAATAGTTGCAGCTGTTTGTTTATAATTTAAGGAAGTTAAAAAAATTGTAAGCAATTTCTTACATTCAAGATAATAAAATTGACTTTATATTTTATTTTGTTGTATTTGTTAATACCCACCCATTATTACTAATCACAAATAATCAAAATACATCATTAGTTATTGTAATTGGGTAAAAAATATCTATTTAGTTACTAATGCTATATTTATTATTTTAATAATTACCTACCCAGTAGGTAAATATTAAAATAATAAATGTAGCATTATAAACAGTAAATCTCCCTCAAACTAAATTTACTAATATTGTTCCTAAATAAGGAATAGCAGATAAAAGATTAGTAGGTAATAACTATTGCTCCTCAAAATTATATTTGACCTCAAGGTAAAACATATCCTAAAATTCAGTAGCTATATAAAATAATAATACCACTATTCAAGTATATTTTCAATATGTAATTAAATGAAAATAACACAATGAAGCATATGAAAAGTTAGAATCATTAATGAACATTTCGACAAATTTTATAATTTACACTATAAAAAGCTATTTCAATATTAGCAGTATAGTATATAGTTAAAAATGTTCAAAATAGTTATTTTTATAATTAGATAATATATGAGAATACATAATTCTAATGTAATGCAACTAATATACCGAATAAAGAAAATTAAAATACATTTATCATTGTCTGCCGTGTCTATTTCCATAAAATAGTTCATTGACATTGAAAAATTAATACTACGTTCGTAACAGTAGGTGGCGTCTTGCAGATTTCTTACGCGATATATTGTAGCGAGCGTCGGTAGACCGAACGCTCAAGGTAGTTTATGGCCTTAATGCTGCTGCGCTTCGTATGGTCAGTGTAGAGAACCGGAGACCCTTTTTACTGGAAATGAGGCATTATATCTTAGTCCTCACGGTTAACAACGCATCTGCATTTTAATTCGTAATCGAGGATAGATGTAGATGTCTATGGGCCACAGCAACCACTTACCATCAGGTGGACTGTGTGCTCGTTTGTAACCCTATCCTATAAACAAAATAAAAAAATGACAATTGAAACTTACTGGCGATAGTTATTATGATACATTAAACATATTTAAGAAGGCTATTTTGAAGAAAAACAAGCTGTGTGTGATAACGAAGCCTGTTAGAACTGACGCTAAGTTTTTGGAATGGTGTAGTGTTCGGTTATGTTGGCTGTTAGCCAGAGTGAATTTAGGATGGATTTAACACCTCTTAATCTGTAGAAGAAATAAATAAGAAACAGAAGAGCCTTCTACGGCTATTTATTTGTAAGTCAGCAATAATTTGCATGCGTCTACCCCACAAAGCCACACCCTGCACATAATACAGTATCTGTTAGTTTTTGTTAATTGCAATTAAATGTTACATTTTTTTGTAAAAAATACACATTTCATTAAACCATAGTTTATGTTACTACCACTACGCTAAATTCAGCTCAAATATATTTTAAAATATTTAAACTAGAAAAATTTCAAATTATTTATTACAAAATCATATTAATAGTATATAATATATTGAAAATATTTTAAATTACATCGCATACTATCTGAGATCAACTTCAAAGCCGAATTACAACAATTTCTTGACCTGGAGGTAGAAAATATATAAATAATTTGACATATTTAAACACAAATATCAAATAAAATATATATATATATATATATATATATATATATATATATATATATATATATATATATATATATATATATATGAATCCTCTTTACATTTAAGATTTTAAATTTATTTCTTGTTAACTTTGGCTTTTACCAACAAATTATAATGTAATTTTCCTGGAGCGAATTGTAATTGGAAAACTGTCTAGATGGAGCGACAAACTGAGCAAGGCGGCTGGCAGCAACTGGATACATGAAGCCGAATATCCAGCTAAGTGGCGCGCTTTGGTAGAGGCCTATGACCAGCAGTGGACTACTGCAGACTGTTTATGAATTGTAATTCGTCTTTTCAATTTGAAATTTGAAACAAAGTACTTGCTCAATCATCTACTAGTATACAATGAAAAAAGGCAGACAATGGAAAAATGCTTGTTCGTAGCACAATTTTACTTTTATACATACATATATCGGTGACATCAAGACAGTACGCGGAAACTACATTACGTTAGGTGAGGCGGAGACAGACGAGTTCATGCCCTCTCTCCCTTTGCTATTCACGCACCTACGAAAACACGAAGTAAGGCATTGTAAATCGTTATTTTAAGATATTAAAATATTTTCGAATCCTTAAGTATTTAATATATATTTTAGATACTATCACAATTTAAAATGCCCTATTTATTATATAAGGTGATATTTGAGTATTAACAGAACGCTAAAAATAGCACTGCAACATTTGATATGAGATTTTTTTTTACATATATACATATCATAAACTCTTACGCCTGTTATCCAAAAGGTAAAGAAGTCAAAGTAAAGCAAAGTGTAGGTATACAACAGACATCTGATTCTTGACATGATCCTAAAAAACCTTTTAGGCTACTTTCACATTATAATAAGACCTCGTATTAAAGCATTTTAACATATGACTTAATTATGTATCAAATAAGTAAATCAGAGCAATGAAACTCATTTAATATTTATAGTTAAAAAGTATAACAGACGCTTATGGCCTTAATGAACTTAACATTAAAACTAAAACACGCTAATTATTCTACTCAAAAACTTTGTGTATTATAATCTATGTTTCAAACTTTGTCATGTCCAATGTTTTACTTTCTAACATTCAAGAGGGAAAGTCACTGGGGAAATTTGTGGGGTGCGACGCACCGTCGGCGTGTTTTCGCACCAGTCAGTATCGTTTTCGCTCATGCCGTGAAAGAGCGTCGTGCGGGTTAAGTTATATTTTAACATGTGACTTGTTGCATTATAATCGATGTGCAATTAACTTAAAATTACATTGCAATGGACCACAAAATATTTGAATTAATTTTTATTTCAAAACTGTTGTCATGAATTTAACTGCGAGTCCCCTTTACAAACACGCTAAACTTATAGTGCTTTTGGGTTTTGGTCTTGCAATTATTCTTGTTACTATCGTACTCCGCGGTGAAATAGTCAACAAACAATCGCATAACAAAGATAAAATCCTAGTATACAAGAACAATACTGAATGCAAGTCTATAATAAATGCAACCTCTTCTGTACACAGTAAAACGAAAAGAAAAGAATACCTTTATCGTCTTTTGACAAATACTACGCGCTCACTCATACAAATGGAAATAAAAGCTAGGAGACTCGAAGAAAATATGCGTAGGATTAAGGAAAAGACTGCAGATTTATTGTGGAACAATAAGGATAAAGCGCTGTGGCATATTTTATTCAAGAATATCAGCAGACATATTTCAATTCGACACCAATTTCATCAGCATTCTAGTTTAAGAAGAATAATGCAAGACACTTACGTTCGCACACATAGTCATACAACTGGAAAAAGGAGATCATTATTAAAAAAAATTTAGAAGTGTAGTTTCAACATAAGTGATAATTTTTAATGTATATAAAGATGTAAGTCTGTAAGAAATAGAGACACCAAAGTAGTATTAATTCAAACAATCGAAATTCGTTACATTTTAGTTTACTTACTTTGATTTATTTAATGTTGGCAAAATGAATCAATCTAAATTATTTTTTAAAAGATTTTTTAATTAACATATACCAAAATGTATATACCTAGGTACTATTTTTATGAGATTATATATTAGAAATATATTGATAATAAAGTTAAATGATTATGAAAATAATAATGCATTTAATCTGATGTGTTAACAAATTCATTTTTATTCGTACGTAACAGAAAAATAAATTAACAGCAAATGAGCGTTCTGCTGATAAACACATGTCTCTTCTTATTTTTTATAGTGTTTTAGAGCAAGGAAGGGCCTGTCGAGTGCCCGCCGCCCACCTAGTCTTCTTTTGTCCTCGAAATACATATCATAAACTCTTACTTTTTTAATTTCTTGGACATACATGTTTCCTTGTGATTTTTTCTTTCACCGCTAGGCCACAAAATTAAATAAAAGCACTAATTTATAATTTCAATAACGCTGGCTTCTGGTTCAAACGCGAATTATGAAATTTAAGTACAAAAAAAAAAGACTAACGCATAAAAAATTGATTTTGCATACTTATTACGTATGTAGACATTTCTTGCAAATTTCTTGATCAAAGGAGATATGCCTGTATTCCGATATTACAAATCGAGTTCATAAGTTCATGTATTTTAATGCATTCGTATTATTGACGCCGAGCAAAGTGGTTGTTATACATAGTATTATTTCTTCAAATGTAATAATATTGTTTTAAAATGTCTTGTTGTGAGTATTACATATTGCTAATAGTTATTAAGTTTGCCAATGCAGTCAATTTGATATTTAAAGTTCTGTAAATTATAACATTATTTCGTACACGAATATTAGATATTGTATGAACACATATTCACGCCCCTGCAAACGTTTCAAATCATATATAATGTTTTGTATTATTAGAATTTCTTAATGAAAGAGCTAAAAAATAAACAGTAAAATTTGCACGTTAATATAATTTTAACTAAGAATCAGTAAGTGAAAATAATTTTGACTTATGTAAAACTATCTTTTATATTGAAATATGTAATGTAAATATTTGTACAAATAAGTATAAACTAAGTATTTAATATTAAACGGAACATAACTTGCAATTTAATATTGTTTCTTACAAAATAATATGTCCTACAGTTATCTAGTGAATTTCATTTATAATTTTCTTTGTTTATATTTATGTTTATATACTTACTATGTATTAATCAAAAGATACATAAATACGTGAAAGTATGTTTGCGTTATTATAAAAATATACAGTGATTATTATTATCATTGATTCTAGCTAAAATTTGAATGGACATCTGTGAGAACTCTTATTAACTTATTATGCATCGGTAAACATAAAATCAGCTATAGGTTATATTCAAAAAATGGAATACAAAAAAAATTTACTGAAGTAACTAACAAACTTTTTTAAAAACTTAGGTAGTCCATGAATATATTTCATTTATAATATTGCATATCGTGACTCTTAATATAAATAAAACACCACTAGAAGTGAATTAAAGTTCACACCAAAAATTACTCTTCGAAATAATAAGGAATCTACTGTAGCCAGATTCCATTCTATATTTTGCTCGATTCTGTGCTTACATCTGTATATAATTATTTAACCAATAAAAAGACACCACGTTTGTCATAATGTCTTTAAAGTAATTACACAATACCAGACTTCAAAGTAATTACACAAAACAGAACACCAGCGTAAAATAGCAGCTTAATACTGCTATGTTTCGTATGGTGAGTGTACATCACATCGCTCGGATCACTATAATTCCTAAAGACCTCCCATTCATATTTATTGAGATGCATTGCATATAATATCTTTAGATTTTTATAGCCTAGTATTTCGACCCATATTTTTGCAATTTTATAAGAACAGCTAAAATACTATTGAGTTTACATTGTAGAGTTATGCTGCAGGTGTGTAATGGTTGTAAAACGAATTAGTTGGCTCGACCGGGGAAGACCACGCTTTCAAAGAACTGGAAATGAAGCATTCCAGCTTAGTCCTCAGTGGTGACAATGCATCTGCATTACGGTTCTTATTCAAGGATAGCTGTATATTTCCATGGGTCACAGCCACTTACTCTACAGGAAAATACTTATTTATAAAATAATATAAAGTCACGTAATTTTTTGAGCAAAATTAACAGTTTCGTTTTTTTAGGAGAGTGGGTAAACGAGCATGCGGCTCACCTGATGGTAAGTGACTACCGCTGTCTATGAAGAACAACATCAGGGGAATTGCATGTGCGTTGCCGGCCTTTAATTCGTGTAGGTAGTATTGGTGGATCCACTAACCCATAAAGTCCCGTTGGTGTCGTAAGAGGGAAACCGAAACAGAAAGTGAACACATTCCTGATCACTTACGATTTTTAAACTTAAAATTTTTAAACACTGCGATTGCCCCAGTAGGTTGGCAAGCGTGGCTACTATGGCAACATGTGATGAAATATATGGGGCATGACTGAGTTCAGCAGTGGATTTTCGTAAGCTACAAAGTAAAAATGTTACAGTCAGAGAACCATAACAGACACAATAAAATCATCAACGAAACTAAATTGGAATATGGGTTCAATAAACTAACATTCAGAGCAAAATTATATGTGAAGTACATCGCGAAATATCGCGTGGAAACCATTTTGACTATGATTAAAAAAGCGTAGTCTGCCAAGAAGCAAGCCGGTAACCAGTGTAACTAAAAGTGGGACGTAACAATGTTAATTTACATTTTAATTAAATTTAAAATCAATACAGAATTTAACTATACTTTAGAACGCAACTTTGTTATTATTGTTTGTTCATGTTTTTTAACATTTCAAAAAACAAACAATAGCTGATTGATGGGATTACTGATACAAAGGAGTCATTTATATGCAAACATTACCTGATGTGATTACTAAATTGCGAGGGACAGAATTCCCCCTGTTTGCCGACAACCCTCTTTCATACAGAAATATATTTTTAGCAGAAATATATATACTGTATATGGACATTTAATAATTTTTTCGACAAATAAGAATGTTGAAAAAAGAAAAATAAATACTTAATGAATTTATATAAGCAGTTTTAAACTCAGATTGAATTGATCGTATTTGCAATAAAATATCAAACACTTTATCAATTACGTAAACTAAAACTTTTTGTATGGATGCCGTTATAATTAAATTTATATATATCTTTTTATTTTTTTTTATCAGGTAAGGGTCCTGGATATGCATCTCCTTTAGACGCGTTTAGAAATGGTCCAAGAGAAAAACTTTTGTACGTTGTTTGTGTACAGCCTAATCTTACTAAACAAGATTACTTAGCTACTGTTGATGTTGATCCTGACTCTCCTACATACAAACAGGTTTGGATATTTGGTTAAGTTTATTTATTTACAATTTTCAGCAATAAATTTTATTTCTCATTATTTGTTTACATATCGGCCAATATCGCTATATTACCATTTGAAAAACTGAGCTCAAATCCCATATTATACTGAATAAAGAACAGAATCATCAGTACAAGGCTATCGGCTCTTTTCTAACCATAGCCTCCACCCCCAGCCAGGGGACTATCGAGTAAACCTTTCAAATTTTTTCGGGTTCATGAAAAATGCTTTGAAGAAGAAATAAGACCATAATTGTAATTATTGTAATCTGATATTAATTAAACTAACTCCGAGAATTTCATATTTTCAGAAAAGCTATTAGGTTTTGTTTACTCATAAGTATGTGAAATATACGTTAAGTTATAGTTCAGTAATAACTAAGTCGACTCGATATGGCATAGATAACGCCCTAAATAAATACTAATGTAAAATAACAGAATAAACGCAATACTCACAATTTTTGACGACAAAGGTTTCTATCTTAGATATCACAGTTAAGTAAGTACCCATATTACTTCTTTATCTGGAATGGATAATAGCATCTAGAGAACATAATGAAAATCTCTATACCCCTATATTTGATAACTCTTAATATTCGATGTAAGAATTTCATTGACCATGATTTTTTTATTACCTATTATGTCGTGATTAAATTTAGTATTATATGTATATTAGTCTTTTAAGAATTATTGTGTTTCATTTTCTCACATTATTTCTTTTAAAACCAATATGTTATGTAAATAATGTGTCTTTACATGAATATACAGTATATTATACTAATTATAGTTTTCATTCCACAAAAAATTCAAGGTAATTCATCGCACTTACACGGGGAGTTTGGGTGATGAACTTCATCACTGTGGCTGGAATGTGTGTTCCAGCTGCTATGATAACCCAGATCTAAGCAGGAACCTTCTTTTACTACCCGGTTTACATTCATGCAATATTTTTGTTATTGATGTTGGCAGTAATCCTAGGAAACCTGAGTTGCACAAGGTAAACTTAAATTGTGATATTAACACAAAAGCAATATATTATTTAAACTATTTAGTCAACAATTGTTATTATATTATATATATTTATGGGTTAAGTTATAGTAAGTTATAGTATATAAGTTATATTGCTATGGGTCAATGTTCTTAATGTTTAAGTCCTATTTATGCTTGAAATAAATTGTATTGTATATAAAGATTTGAAAGTATTCATAGAAATAACTAAATAAATATGCAATCACACAAACTGAAAGATGTATTTGACCTCCTACCTTATCTGATGTTAGTTTTTGCAAATTTCTATCAAATATGACCCTAAGGTTAATGTGAATGTCATCTATAAACGTGTATTCCAATTTATATACTTACTGGCCCCGTACTTACGTTACTTACTTATTCGTCCCGGTTTCGCAAGGGTGATTTCTGGATCTCAACAATAGCGACACCTACCGGATCCAACAATAAGTAAGAACCATCCTCATAAGTATCCTTCAAAAATTACATCAAGCCGTTTAGAAATTTTATGTATAAATTATTTTTATTCTTTTTTTATCAAATTTAAGCGTCAAATGAACTTACCACATACCACGTAATGCTAAGTATGTAAACCATGTGAAAGCTAATACAATACATGAACATCTAGTGGCAACATCAAGGAAAGAATATGTGGAATGCCTCACAGCATGCAATTACTGGCTCTCTACACACTTATGACAAGAACCCAGCAGTGTAGAGGAAGAGGATGTAACCAACCCAGACGAACATTTTGGCAGAAAAGGAGTCCGACCACGTAACATAATATGAGTGAAATTAAAAAAAGCTACGTTAGAAAAAATCGAATAGAGATTGAGAACATTTAGGAATATATAAATACATAGTAGTATGGGATGCACAAGCGGGATTTAGAAAGGGAATGGGATGTACGGATCAGGTCTTTTCCTTGCGGTGCATAGCCGAAAAGTGTTTGGCTAAAAACAAGAAAGTAGTTTAATCTGTTCATGGACAATTATATGACAGATTTAAAAGAGAATGAAAGTGGGTTGAGAATGAATGAGTTACTCGTCAAATGTTTTCACTATGCTGATGACCAAGTATTACTTGCGTCTTCGGCCGAGGAGTTGCAGGAGATGGTAACTGCTATGAGTGGAGCTTTTGTTAGAAAGGGAATGAAGATGAATGTAAAGAAGACGAAAGTGATGGTGTTTGAAAAAGATGAGGCAGTGACTGACTGCAATATCGTGATTGAAGATGAACAAATTGAACAGGTGAAAGAGTTTGTGTATCTGGGGTCAAAGTTTACAAGAGATGGAAAGTGTGAGAGTGATATCGAAAGAAGAGTGAATGCAGGAAACATGGTGAATGGAGCTTTGCACTCCTTTATGAGCAGTCGGAAAGTGTCTAACAAGGCTCGTTTGGCTGTGCATGAGGGGGTGTTGGTTCCGACACTCATGTACGGAAGTGAAAGTTGGGTATGGCAGAAGAAACATGAAAGTAAAATAAATGCAGTTGAGATGAGAGCATTAAGAAGTATGATAGGAGTTAAATTGAGTGACAGGATAAGAAATAGTGAGATAAGGAAACGTTGTGGTCTGAAAGAAGATGTAGTGACAAAAATTGAGAAAGGTATGCTGAGATGGTTTGGCCACATCGAGAGAATGAATGAAGAACGATTGACGAAAAAAGTGTATAAGGCGAGTGTGAATGGAAGTGCTGTAAGGAGTAGACCCAGGCGGACTTTTCTAGACCAAATTAGGGACGTCTTGAAAAAAGGCCAGGTTAAGAGTACCCTAAACCGTAGAGCATGTATGAAGGGAATAATGAAAGTAGACGAAGCGAAACAAGTATGTAAGGATCGTAGCAAGTGGAAAGAAGTGGTCTCTGCCTACCCCTACGGGAAAGAGGCGTGATTATATGTATGTATGTAGCAAATCGCAGGCACCTGTGCGAGCCGTAGTGTGCTTATTATTGTATTATATATTATGTTTATAATTTAAAGTAATTATACAAGCTATATTGGTGTTTTATTGAGTGCAAGAGCGAGCGAAGCGAGCTCGGGACTTAGGGCACCCCCGACTCGGACAGGTTAGTTTAGAACGGGATGGCGGGGTCGAGTGAGCGAACGAAGCGAGCGAATAGACCCCGCCATTCTCAAACTCTCTCCCTCCATAAATCAGGTTTATAATCAAAAACATTACAAAAACATAACCTCAAAATTAGATTTTTAAAAATTTATAAAAAAAACTAATCATGTCCGGCAGGATGTGAGAGTGAGGGGCGACTCTACAACTCCCCCGCCTCCCTATCCACCACCTCCCACCCCCTTAATTAATTTTGAGTTATCATTTTGAGGTTAGTTCTATGGGATTTTCTTTTTGATTTTTCTCAAGAACGGTGCATTACCTTTTAATGTGAGTGGTATTACTATAATCGGGCACCAAACATAAAACACCTTACTCTCCCGAATTCCTGCCAAACGATTCTAAATTTCAACCCTTCAAAGTAATCCATTCCAGCTGACACTTTCTAGAATATTACATATTTATTTACTAGCTGGCTCGGCAGACGTTATTCTACCTTTTCTGGTTGGTTGCGCGATGAGTTTCATTTTCAGATACAAACACACACTTTTCCTATAGACTTATTTAATATTATACGTATAGCTAAATCCTCTATATGACTAATAGAACCAACACAACCATTATGACAATAAACTAAAAGAAATAAAAACATAACCCTAATTTTTTACTCTTCCGTAAGCGGATAAAAAGTTGCCTATGTGTTATACGCCATCATTTAATGCCTACACACCAAATTTCATGGAATCCGTCCAGTAGTATTTATGTGAATCGTGAATAAACAATTTTTCTACAGATTTATTATAAGTATAGAATAGATTTTTTATTTCCACCAACAATATACATTAGAGAGCAACAAAAAATATGTACTTACATCTGCAAAAATACTATCGATAGGTGAAAAACTCTGCCGCGCTTACGTCATAGGCGACTTTTCGACATTTCGGCAAAATTTACTTTCAAATTATACAAGGCCATTAATAAACGTTCCTCAGCTTCACTATCTTGAGGTGATGATATTATGATATTATTTATTATCTTAACTTTAGTTGCAGCTTTGGTTTACGTTATCAGCTGAATGACGCATTATTTATGAAACTAAATTCGATTCTCAAGTACACTACTGCCTTGCTAATTAAAAAGGTGACCTTTCGATAAATAATACATTTAAAGTAAATAAAAAAGCGGGATATCAAATTTCTTAAATTTGCGATGCTTTGCTACAAACTTTGATAACAGAGATTATACGCTGTTATGACATTTATCTACGTGTATAAAAACGAGAACGCTATTCATTATATTTTTTAATTTAATAAGCTTTATATATTTTACGTTATTTATTGCTTGAATATTCCTTATATTTAACTATACACAAAGGGAACACATCATTATTTTAAAGTGTTATTACCAATTATTATGTATACACTTAGAAATTACGTGCGGGTATTCGAAAATTTCTTTAAAAACTATAGTTAGCAGTAAGAAATCAGTAATTGTTGTACCGCCTATTTATTTAAATAAAGGGCATAATATTTGAATACATATTTAACTGGTACTAACTTATTATTCTCATGCGATGTTTAAAACTAGTTCATTGTAGGTTCGTTTACCAAAACAACTAGTAAATAATAAATAAATATATTGCTCATCTAGAATGAAGCAACATCTGAAAAATAATTTTCCATATTGCTGGCATTATTATACACTAGTCTGTTAAATAAAGACCGATATATGTGTCAATTACATGTTTATTAAAATCACTGTTGCCGCAAAATTAAATAAAAAGCAACTATGTAACGAGTAATTTAATGCAATAACTCCTTATTATTTTGAAAAACAATATCAAAAAACTTAAGTTCTAAAACAACACTTTAAAATCAAACAAATTCTTAATACTGTTGTTTTACTTTTTAACAAATAATTGAAATTTTTAATTTTTATTTCTAATCTAGTCTCTACCGGAAATTTTTCACTGCATTTTCTTCTACTTTTGTTGTCAAGTGCCTTTTTTGTATCCTTATCTTTTTTAGGCCAGTCAAGATAGCATTTACTTTTTCGTCAATCTCCTGTAAACAAATGAATTTTTTTCATTCCCTTTTTAATTTTCTGTATAATTTTTGGTGATGACTCTTTCATAACTTCTCGCATCCTATTTACATAAAAGGTTCTGAGTTTTCTGAAGAAGCATTCTAGTTTACATCTGGAGATTTCTGCATTCATCCGTTATGATTTGATTATCTTCAGACGAATCTTGGTGGTTTTGGTCTCGGTCTTGGACGAGGTTGAAGTATCTTTCGAGTTTGGTAGTTCATAAAGTATGTTTCTAATTAAATTTGAATTGAGATTTTTTTATTATTTCATCACATTGAAAATTCATTTCTATTTATCCATCACCTGAATGGTTCATAAGCATAGAAAGTTTTATATTCTGTACAATATTTCGACAAGACATATTTTGGTAATCGTATATATAACGCCGTATAACTTCGCCGTTATCATTTAATGGCAATGTTGATAGCATTCAGAAATTTTTTATAACAATAATCTTAAATAACATATTATGTTTGAATATACTCTCTTTTAGACTCCTACAATTAGGTTTTATTCGTTAACTTAATTAAATAAAATACGACAAAATTTAAACATACGTGATTTTAGCATTTTCTCATTATTTTACTGCCGTACAAACTAAGACACAAATCAATTGGAATTCTATAATACTCTACGTTTACAACCGAAATGTCTACATGCGAATCTCATTCCAAATGTCTTGCTCGTGCGCACCAACTTATGTGTTCACTTTTTGTTTTTAGCTCTGGATCATTATCAACTAAGCGATGCTGTCTTTTTATAACTGACTAGACAAATAGATGTCGACATATATTACTTTCCACTGCTTATAAAGTTCTTTAGTAGGGTAAAGAAAATTTCATAAGAATGCTAACTACACATATGCCCACCGATGTAATATACCGGTGTATTTTTTAAAGAATAATAAATTTTCATACAAAATGATGGAAATATGACCGTTGACTTAATTGAATTCCCTTTTTAAAGTAAAAGAGAAACAAATTTAATCGTTTGTTCTAAATTGAAATCCATTAAAATCCTTTGTAAATGATGCCATTTTTATATTTTTTAAAGATATAATTTCTTGTTGTTGCGGTCGTTTTTATGTTATTGTATATTAACATAACTTTACATGTACATCATAATCCTTGTCATTACATCCTTCAGAAGTCCACTGCTGAACATATGTCTCGCCTCCTCTCGGAACACTACAAGACCTTTAACCACTTTCATCCATCAACATCCTCTCTGTCTCACCAAGTTGTCGGTCCATGTAGTGGTGTCATCATGTACATGTTTATAGTAAAATAAAGATTTAAGTAAAAATAACTTGACAACATTATGTTATTTATTGTCAGTTATCACGATTTTGCATTTAAGATAATTGGCGGTTCGGAAATAAAATCATTCAACTGTACTTTTCCTCATACCACGCATTGCCTAGCAAGCGGCGATATAATGATTTCGACTATGGGAGATAAAAACGAAAACGCAAAGGGAGATTTTGTGCTTGTTGATTCAAAAACTTTAAAAGTCAAAGGTATTTTTAAATTAAAATCAATTTATTGGTTTATAATATGAATAGTAGGAATATTTTAATTTACACAAAATATAACTGATGTAGGAACGTGGACTGCAGGCAACAAATTAGCTAAATTTGGATATGATTTCTGGTACCAACCGTATTACGATGTTATGATTGCATCAGGATGGGGCAGCCCTAAACATTTTAAAACGTAAGTTTAAATATGTTCTTCTTTAAGAAAACAAAAAAAGTTCAATTTAAGAAATTGTTAAATACATATTATAGAGGCTTACACCCTGAAGACATTCCTAATAAAGAGAGATATGGAACTTCACTCAATGTTTATAGATGGTCTACACATGAACTGATTCAAGTTATTGACTTAGGTAAAGAAGGGTGTGCACCGCTCGAGATTAGGTTCCTCCATGATCCTAAATCCTCGCAGGGATTTGTTGCATGTGCCGTAGAGGCGAACGTATTCAGGTATGAGATTTAAGAAAGCTTTGGCAGATTTAGTTTCAAATTTATAGCATTTTTATTTTATTTTTATTGAGAGTTTGAAGTTATAATTCTTAATAACGTAGGTTTTATAAAGATTTGGATGGAACATGGAAAGCCCACAAAGTAATTGATATACCGGCTAAAGTAGTTCAGAAGGATGGTGTGAACACACAACTTAATGGTACGATTTAAATAATTATTTATTCTACATGAGACGATCTTTCTGCATTTAGAAATAATACTTAAGTAATACATTTTATAATACCTATGTTTTTATTAAGGTTTATTAAAGGATATTCTCCTGTCTTTGGATGATAAATATCTGTACCTGTCATGCTGGTTACATGGTGATGTAAGGCAATATGATATATCAGATCCAGAACACCCTAAACTAACTGGCCGTGTTTGTTTCGGAGGAAAAACAGTTAATGATAACTTAATAGTTATTGAAGATAAGGAGTTTAAGGTAAGTCTTTGACGAATGTTTATTCATATATTTATTTATTATCATTATGCGTGGTAGAGCCATGCTGCATCTATATTATGGTCGCAGCGCAAATGGCTGGGCTCCAACGGGGAAGGACCACGCTCCCACACACTACCAGCGTAAAATTACCAACTGAGTGCAGCGGAGTTTCGTGGTTAGTGTAGAGAACGGGATACCCTTTTTACTGGAAACTAGGTATTCCATCTTAGTCCTCAAGGAAGACAACACATATGCCATCAGGCGGTCTGTTTGTTTGTTGGCTTGATGATGAGAATACGCGTTTTCTCATATTTGGTAAATTCAATTATTTTGAAAACATTACATTATTTCATGAAATATGTCCTTATTTTTCTTAGCAATATTTTTGAACCAAATTTTAAAAAACATAATAATTGATTATTTTTTGTTTAACATAAATCTGTCATGTAGCTATAGTGCTAAATATCTCACAATAAAGCAAACTATTGTGGACGCCATGTTAAGCATTATACTAGAATGTTGTAACCCACTTATTTGAATATGTTAATTTATCTATGGAATTCAAATAAAACAAATAGTATACGAAAATAGAAGAATTACGGTGCTCTTAAATGCTATTAAGGCGAAGAAATTTATATTAAATCGAAATAAATATAAAATAAAATATTCCTGTGAAATGTTAATTAATGGCAATCCAAAACTGATTTCACTTTATTAACAGGAATTGATGAAGCCAGTAATCATTAAGAATAAACAATTGTGGGGAGCGCCACAAATGATTCAACTCTCTTTAGACGGTGAACGTCTATACGTATCATCATCTCTATACTCTCCGTGGGATAAACAAATTTATCCAAAATCTATTGAACGAGTATGACTTCTTAAATTATCCTAAAATGGTAATATTTTTATTTTAAGATTTTAGAACGATAAAATAACCATCAAAAATAAATGCATTTCAGGGCGGATGGGTAGTTAAGCTGGACGTAGATACAGAAAACGGAGGGTTAAAACTGGATCCCGATTTTCTGATAGATTTTGGAATTGAGCCAAACGGACCAGTACTGCCACATGAAATGAGGTAACGCTATTAGGGTATTATATAAAGTATATGATTTTTTTATTTTTTTGCCATAAAACAACCCTATTATATTTCCTTTATAAAATTATGTATGTATTTAATACGAACTAGCGACCAGCGCGGAGCCGTGGTAGCTCAAATGGTTGACGCTCGCTGTAAATAAGCTGTAACAGAACGCGAGTAACGCGGGTTCGATCCCCGCCGGCACCGATGAAATTATTAATTGCAGTTTTAAGTGCTGATTTACCGCGTGCTCGACGGTGAAGGAAAATATCGTGAGGAAACCTGCATGTCTGAGGAATAAGGAAAAAAATATTTCGAAGACATGTGAAGTTGGCCAACACGTATTGGGGCAGCGCGGCGGACACTCCCTTGTCCTAAAACCGTCTCAGAAATGAGGAGAGGCCTGTGCCCAGCAGTGGGACGTATATAGGCTATAATTTTAGCAACCAGCGTAGATTGTTTTCAATTTTATAAAAGGTCTTCGAGTTTTTCGGATAAAATATAGCTTAGATCACTTCGGCATTGCTCTCTATCTGTTCTTCAAGTCTTATTACAATCGGTTCAGGAATTCCAAAGTCTGTACTGCCAGACAGACAAAATAATTAAAAATGGTAATTTATGGCAAGGCGTGCAAATAGTCCCGTCAGCTCAATAACATTCATTTAGATATAATAGACAGTTTATTCAATTTTATTTATATGTACCTATAGATAACTCGCTTACTGATAAAACTACACCTTTGCCCTTAAAGTTGCCCTGGTCCGATACTACTTAAACTATACATATAAATTAATAATTATTTGTGAAGTATTGGACTTCTCTTTATGTTAATTACCCATTATGAATTAGAACACACCATTGATCTTATCTCAGAATTTTACATTAAATAAATAATAATTGATTAAAACTACCTTTACAGATTTTATCGCGTTTATTTTTAATATCCGACGTTTTGGGTGCTTTCCAGCACCCATGGTTACGGGGGACTGAGATCACTGACGTCCCGATGTCATTGTAGTACCTTCAGATTTTTTAATTATTGTTTATGGTTCGATCGTAAAATGAACTGTGTCTTGAAGTCTTGCAGTGGTATGACGTCAGGCACACTAGTCCGTTCGGCAAGCTTTCATCGTACGGCTTATCGCCTGGTCAAATTTTGTCTACATTGGCTAGGTGAAGAATTTTGTTATAGGAGAGGGGGCAAACGATCATACGAATCACCTGATGATAAGTGACTATCGCCGCCCATGAACAACTGCAACACCAGGGGAATTGCAAGTGCGTTTCCGGCCTTTTAGAAAGGAGTAAGCTCTTTTCTTGAAGTTCCCTAAGTCATATCGGTCCGGAAAAATCGCCGGTGGTAAACTATTCCACCGAGAGGTCAAAGAAAACTGCCAGTGCAACGTGCAGTGATGGACCGCCAAGCATTTAGATGGTGTGGATGGTATCGGGAGTTCTCATGTCTTCTGAGGATTAAACTGGACTAGATTTAGTTGCCCCCGATCCGAAACTTTGTTCAGCATAGACTTGACTTCAGACAAAAGTTGGTTCCGGTTCTCGGCGAGGTTTTGAGTGAACTGCTTCTTTAAATCATGTCAGTGCATTGTATTAATACAAAAAAGGCATTATGATTAATATAAAAAAGGATCCTTTTATTAACATTTTAAATTTAAAGATATCTTTAGCCCATAAAATATCTCTTTTACCATAGAATCAGCCTATGACAGTCGACAGCTGGACATGGCCACACCCTAATTACGCCACTTAGCCTAATCCGCACGCTACACGCACCCAGTTTCTGCATGTCGCTATGTGCAGTCGTCGCACTCGATGTTCGTCGGATACATTTATTTCCACTATGATGTAGTGAGTCCACTACAGTCTTAATTTTTAAATATGAAAGATAAGTCGTCTAACAGATTTCTACATTATTTCGTTCCATGCCTTTCTGAGCGATAATTTTTCAGAGTAGTTGGATCCTCAGTATCTACGTTTCAGCAGCAAAGGATGAAAATAACTTATATTTTTAATGTTTTTTTTACAGATATCCTGGAGGAGACTGTACGTCAGATATATGGCTAGCTGAAAACTAAATATGTGTTAAATGTTCATGCTTATATATAAAATATATTCTTTCAAAATATATGTAATATGATAGCTTTTAACTTTCATCATTTATACTATTTTCTTTATTAATCAGCTATTTAATTTAATATTACCCGACCGTCGAGTTCTCATTTCAAAATTAACAAAGTCGGTGAAGTTACAGACTGTAAGACATTCCACCTTAATAATTAAAGTTATCGACTCATATTTGTAACTTTGGTTGCAGTTATTGGGATGCAGTGGCTACCTTTGTAAAAATGCATTTTATAAATTTATGAGATTTATTTTATGCTTGTGATAGTCAGATTCCGTGATATATAAATTTATTAATTAGATTTGTAGGATGGTAGCACAAATTTTAGTTTATATATTGTTACCTGTATATAAAATATCTGTGTTATACTTATTATACTCGTATATTATACTCGTATATTAGGTAATGTGCAACTGAAAATGAAATACAGCTTACTTAATTTAATTAGAACATTCAATGTAAAATTATTATTACTTCCATCTAATGTAAGCTTTTCATTGCTATACTTAAGCCCAAATCTCATACCTGCATTGAATGATTAGCAGAAAACGCAGAATTAAATTGCACGGCATTTGTATGTGTTAAAGAGCTGTGCTCATATAACGCAGACTACATACGTAGACACCTCCAAGGTTTTTATCTACAATGCGAAAAACTTCAGTCGACTCGACAATGTAGTAAAATAAACATGGTAGGCTTTACGTGGTAGAGCCATGCTGCAGTTATATTAGTAGTATAGTTATAGCACGAATGGGTCGGCTCAACCGGGGAAGGACCACGCTCTCACAGAATACGAGCGTGAAATAGTAGCTTAATGCTGCTGTATTTCGTATGGTGAGTGTAGAGTACTGGAGACCCTTTTTACTGGAGACGAGGCATTCCATCTTAGTCCTCACGGGTGACAACGCATCTACATTTTGTTTTGTAATCGAGAATACATGTAGATGTTTATGGGCCGCAGCAACCACTTACCACCAGGTGGACTGTGTGCACGTTTGTCACCCTATCCTATAAAAAAGATATGTAGTAAAGATTAAAAAAATAAAACTGTTGATTTCAAAAAAAATGTGTTGAGAATTTTGACTGATATTTCAAACCATTATTATAACCACCGCTAATTTTAACGAATGAAGTCCCTTATTTGAAACCATTTCTTTTGCGGTCTTTCTTGAGATAGTAAAATTTGGAATAGATTTGAAAGTTCGTAGTCATGTTCATTGGAATTTCCCGTTCGCATGTACTCACAAATCGTTTAAGAATTTGATTTTATATCACAATTAAAACCTAAGAAACATTCGATTTCCTTGAGTACTATAAAATTTTAAGACGAACGCATATACCCTGTGGTATAACAGCTCACTAAATCAATAAATATGGGGATAAGAAACGAAAAAAATTGTATTTTATAATAATACTTATTTAACAGTATTAATTTACGGAAATGTCAAGTATAAATTACTACGAAGTACGGATGAATCAAATTTGCATATCTATCGTGTATGTAAACATTTCGTAAAAAAAGCAAGCAAGTTCATCAACCAAAAGAAAGAGATAGACGCCTTAAACGTGTTCAAGTTCATTCCACTGTTCCGATATTAAAAAACTGAGTTTACTAGTTTACTTGTAATGTATTTGTGTTTTGACGCTGAGCAAAGTGGTCGATTCTTCTTCAAGTTGTAATAATATTGTTTTAAAATGTCTTGTTGTGAGTATTACATATTATTAATACATAATTATAATAATTGATTTTTAAGTTTTTGTTGTAGTCACTCCGTTATTTATAAATCCGCATGCGGTCTAAAATAACATAATATATGTTATAATAGGTACGCAAAAACGAATATCACATATTGTGTGAACATTTAGTCACGCCCTACAAACGTTTTATTTAATCTAGAATGTTTTGTATTATTACTTAGACTTATATAAAGAAAGAGCTAAGAAAATTAATATAATAAATATAATAAAGAGTATTTTTTACTGATGTTGTCGTGAATGAAGTTTTGATGTTTTTACATAATATGTTGTAATAAATACAAAAATTATCGCTCAATCACATAAGTTCCAGTTATCGTTAAATTATTGAAAAGTACGTATGTGAGCACATAATTTTTTTCCATAAAATATTAACGTAATTTATCACAATCATTGTATTGTCTAAATTTACTAATAATATTAACAATTATCTGAACGGCAAATAAAATGTGCTTGCTCTTTTCATTGGTTACTGTTGAGCATTTGATACCCTTGATCAATTATGTAATAATTAAACTTGACGATTGCGGTATTTATAGACTAGTTCGAGGCTAATATAAGGATTACAAAATCCTACCTCTACCATAACAGTCTAGAAAAGTAACTGCTGAACATAGTCCTCCCCTATGATAGTATTATAGGGGGGACCTTGCCATAGTTGACATGCTTAGTGAGCGGGTTGTCACCTGCAGTATTTTTATTATTTTGAGTTTTTATCAGAAAGGTGCTGTTGCCTTGTTTAAATTTCTCTAATTCTAAAACCAAATCGTGTGTAAATAGTAGTGCTTGCAGTGATAGCATTACAGCTCGTTATGGCACGGCTCAGAAATCAGGTTTAGGGCTCTTAAACTCCCTATCGTACGTAAATGACGTATTTAGTTAAATTACATATAGTTTTTTAACTATTCTGAGCCTATCCTTGAATACTATTTCAACTGATGGTAAGCAGTAACGCTACCTAAGATGGTAGTTGTAGTGTTAGTTGAGTAGTAGATGTAATGGTAGTAATGTAGTTTACATTAGCTTAACTCACTTAACAGTACACAATACCAGTTTCCAGTGACATATTTATTATGTCTTATAGAGTTATTGGTGGAAAGAATATTTGACAGATTTTCGACCAAATACAGACTGCTCTCGACAAAATGGTATCATGATGTGAGCCTAGTTTCTAATGCCAGTGTAACCAAACTTTTACATATTAATTCGTAATATCTGAAAAAAAAAACAATAACAAACACACAACGCACATGACTATAGTTGCCTTCGTGGATCCTCTTCCAGTTTTTATAACTGTCCTGTAAGTGAACTTGTAAAAAATCATACATACTTACTAATAGTCATGGATAACAAAACTAAACCGATATTGTCATATTGATCACGTGTTAGTTAGTTGTCAGCATATATAGTTACAATACTTATATAGCTATCATAAAAGATGGCATAAATATCTGATTTATGTTGATGGAACATAACAACCGTGAAATGGCGGTGTAAGTATATCCACTACCCCATATCTTCCCGAGTGTCGTAAGAGGCAAAAGTAGGAAAATGAAACGGGAGATGGGCAGCAGGATCTTTTTGATAACAATTCAAAATAATAAAAAACTGCGTATGCCAACCCGCTTGCTAACCGTGAAAACTATGGCGAAATTACCCCGTGAGGTAGTATATGATGAAGACCTATATTCGGTAGTGGACTCTAATAGACTGTATTGAATGGATAAATAGACACTTAAAATATTTCAAGGCAGCCATAAATTGACGAACAGTTGGGTTGACGTTCGAAACACAGTTGGCTCTTATAGCTATAAGCCAAATAAATTTTCTATAGGGTCTTGTTGAAGAGCCCTGGTTGAAATAGAATGAATGTCTTTGTGTTTTTTTTTGTTAAATTGGAATACAAACGTTTTATACCATTCATTTTTCATAACCAACCCATTTAAACAATATAAGAAATCATTACATAACCAATCCATTATAGAAGGTGGCGCTCACTGACATCCTATCAATGTTAAAGTTTTAAAGAATCTTCTCATTACATTGAAAAATTTCCAATGTGGAGATGTCTATATTATGTTCTTGGCATGTGGTTTACCATTTTTATATTAGGTGTGTACACTTAAAATATAAGTAATCGCAGATGTTAAAATTAAAGCTAAATGTAATGACAATGAATTCGGCTTATTTAATAATTGATTTCGGTCGTCACAGTTACCCTATAAAATACATCTTACTTGAAGTAAAATTCTGTAATATTATGATATACAAAAAAATTAAACAATCTATAATATATACGCGTCTCATGCATAGCTGTGCACGTCGCCAGTTAATAATACCTAAAGGGCACGAACTGCGGGTTACCTGTTCTCGTAATTTAATCACTACCAGCCTTTTTTAAAATACCTTTACAGCGAAAAACATCAAACGTAAACTCCAATCGCTTATCCATTCAATTTTGTTTAGACATTAATTAGAACTCCTAATACTATTATTTTCTTTGGTTCGAAATAATGCTTTAACTGCTTGGTCCTTTTAAGTTTTTATATAATATTTTTTTATAGAATAGAGTGACAAACGAGCACACAGTCCACCTGATGGTAAGTGGTTGCTGTGGTACATCAACATCTGTCCTCGTTTTAACGATCGTGAGGACTAAGATGGAATGCCTCGTTTCCAGTAAAAAGGGTCTCCGATTCTCTACACTCACCATACGAAACACAGCAGCATTAAGCTACTATTTTACGCTTGTATTCTGTGAAAGCGTGTTCCTTCCCAGGTCGAGCCGACCCATTCGTGCTACAACTATACCACTAATATAACTGTAGCATGGCTCTACCACGTGTAGTCTACCATGTTTATTTTATTACATTGTCGAGTCGACTGAAGTTTTTCGCGTTGTAGATAAAAACCTTGGAGGTGTTTAAAAATGCTATAAAAATGTTTTTCTTTTTTAATTGGTAAAATCTGTAAAATTTCAAACAAAATAAGTACATAATCGATGAAAAATGTGGTGTCATGTTGGTTCGTCATAATGCCTTCAAAGTAAACAAATTGTAAAAGTATTGCTGTATTGCGAAATAGTGTTATTATCTACACAACTAAATAAAATTCAAGTGTCTGTTTGTAATGTCAGAGTAACAGCTTTTTACTAAATGCATATGAAAATATATACGGTAACTATAACAAAAATACAATCAAAAAAGTTGTCTGTCTATCTGTTTGTTCCGGCTAATTTCTGAAACAGCTGGACCGATTTTGACAGGATTTTCACTAGCCAATAGCTGATGTTATCAGGAGTAACTGACGCTATTTTATTTTTTAAAAAATAATTAGGGCTGTACGCAAATAAAAATAAAGCCCATGAGATCCTTAAACCATTTTGAATGGTCTAAGATGAGATCCAATCGTAATAAGTTCAACGCGGAGGAGTTCGCGGGGAACAGCAAGTTATCAATACTACCAATCATCGGCTGATACCCTACCCTACCCCATTCATATTTTAAAAAATTACCTTAGTTTTGCGTCGTTTGTCGATATAAAAGACATACATATTTAAATTCGATTTTATTAAAATAATTTTAATCAATTTTTTAGATAATAAATCTTAAAATACTATAATTAAATATTTTCACTATGAAATGCTATGTGCTACGTGCTACGTGCCAGACGTGCTCTTACGGCACGTGTGGCCTCGCTTTATCTGTCAAACGTAGAGACAATTCGAAAACAAAAAAATTGTTTTCGTATTTGTTTTAGTATTGTTACGGCTAGAATGTTTCGCAAAGTGCTTCGTTGGTAATTTTGGGAACCGGAGAACAACCAGACCAAGGGCTGGCTAACCCGATGATCCAAACCGGGAAGTAAATGAAAATAGCTTCAGAACTGGGTATATAAGGCAAGGATACTCACAAGACTGGAGCACTCCTCGTGGTTATGGTGTAGTGTAAAATATTTATGTTGAAGTCCTAGTGTTACACATAGACACCACACTGCACTTGAAATGTATATGAACACGAGCAATGGCACGATAGTCTTACAACTTTATTTATTGAGTAAATTTAAACGAGTAGTAACGAACGCGGTTTATGCGTACGCGGCCATCTTGTTTCTTCTTATTTCTTGATAATAGGTGGCGCACCATCCTTGAGTAGTGCGTATAAAGGAAAGGTGGGAGGATAGAAAATACTTAGGAAAAGGATATTTTATCGGGACTGTTCCGAAGCCACAACAAGTATTATTAGCAACAATGCACGCTAAAAAGCATTTTTGACTTACTCAATGATAAAAATGTCATATATTGTTTAATTTCACGACACAACTTGGCATTTTAGCTAGTTGTAAAATTTGCTACCGTTCCCACGACGACCGCGGGTCTAATTCAGTTCGAAATAAAGACCATTTCAGGACTACTTTAATGGCGCCTCTTAAACACACGGTACGTAAAGTTCTAGCATAAGTCAGTGGCAAAATAAGCAAAGTCACAAACATTAACGGCCATATTTATAAAAATCGACTTTAATTTATGTGCTTAAAGTTGCGCTCTCCTATTTTTATTAAATGAACATACCCAACGGTTATAAGTAAAGCTGTGTATGCATTGACTTATGTATTACTAGGTATGACAAATATTACCACTTAAAATGTTAAAATAAGTAAGAAAACCATAGTGGAAATCAGGAGACAGATAAAATAATACAGTCAACATCGAAATTAAATTGGAGTGCATATGAAATAAACTAATACGCAGAGTGAGTGAATTCTTGATAAAGAGGGAAAATATTGCGAGAAAACTTCTTCGTTAAAAATTAAAAAAGTGAAGACTAACAAAACGCAATGGAGTAGTGTCGAGTATCTGCCCTTTCAGAAATACGAGAAAGCCTATAACTGTTTATTTAGTTTTTTAATTAAATTTTATGTTATATATTTATTAGAAATTTTACTATACCTTAAAACGGATATCCGTAATTATCAAATTATTTTTATTCTTATTTTCTAATAATTCAAAACAAACAATAGTTGATTAGTGGGATTGCTGATACAAAGAAGTCACTTATATGCAAATTGCAAACATTACCTGATGTGATTACTAAATTGCGAGAGTCAGGATTCCCCCTGTTTGCCGATACTCCACTTTCGTACAGAAATATATTTTTGGCGGAAATATATTACCTGGAAGATTCAACTGATCCCATCACAACAGAATCTACTTGCTTGTAAAACTCTTCCTTCCACTATAGATAGCCATGAAAGTAATAATAATAATAATAATTTTTTTAAGGCGTAGGGAAGTGACGACCCCAGCGCCCGCTGACGAAACAGTTAAGTGACAAAACTGCTACGTCGGTGCAGTCAGTCAGCGCCTTGCCAGGAGGTGTGAGCGCCGTGCCTCGGCAGTATTTAGGGTGCAAAGGCCCGTTTGTGCTTACGGCCGTACAATGATACAATGAAACGGTGCCGGGCCTGGGCGTCTCCCGTTAATTGGCGCCCAAAAATGGATGATGGATATGATTGGAAAACGTATAGGGCCGCTGCCTGGGGGTCGCCGGGGCGCGTCTGGAGCTGGCGCTGGACGCGGCAGCATGCGGGCCGCCAGCCGAGCGCGAGGAGCTGCAAGAACACCTAACAGCCCCCCGCATCCATCATCCCCACTAGACGGCTTGATGTCGGCAGGGTCCTCTCGGACTCGGCAAGCGGCATCCGCCGCTGGTGGAGTGCGCCGCATGCGTTGGACAAGGGATATGAACGCAAACGCATTGCGGGCGTACTATAGGGCGAAAGGGGAAGAAACTGCGGGGATAGCGTATCGGGCTCGGATGCATTGCTTTTTTGCTGAGCTGGAGCCGTCTATTCCCGTCACGGAACAAAACCTGGCAGACCGAGTTCGGTACATCATGCGCTCGAAAATATTCGATGATGCCGAGCTCGAACGACTACGACGTGAGGCCATTCCCTCATCGAATGAATTGGCTACGGCTGGGGATGCGGCTCCTCAGGCGACAGACCAGCTGCCACGCGTAGAAGCCGCCATGGATCTTCCAGTTGTGGTTGATTCAGATGATGATGAAATGGTCTCCCACGAACTAGAGCAAATGTGGAGTATATTGGAAGAGGCGATTTTGGAAACGCGCAGCATGCCTCTCGAAAATCGACCGCGACTTCCCCGCATACCTCTAAGCAAGCGAAATCGGGCTGTCGTGAGGGCTCTTAACCCAATGCTGGTAACCTATTTGGAAGCCAGCCGGGACCTTTGCGAGACGGACTCAGTTCTTTTTGGTGCCGCAGTGGCAGCTTGCCGTATTATTGGCGCCAGACTTCCCATGGCTGGACGCGCTACTAAACAAAGTAGCGCCATCCCAGCCTGGAGAAAAAGAATTGAGGACCGTATCGCAAAGGCAAGGGCCCTTATCGGCAGACTGATAAGCTTCAGGTCGGGTAATAATAGACCGAGGGTTGTGCGCACCGTTAGAATGGCGTTTGCTGGGACAAATATCAGTTTGTCCCAGCCGGATATCACGCAGAAACTAACGGAGCGCATAGACGACCTGAAGCAAAAGATTGCTGCTTGGGGGAAGCGGATTCGCCGATTTACTGAGAGGTCAAGGCGGTTCAACCAGAATCGTCTCTTCCAGAGTGATCAGAAGAGGCTCTACAAATCATTGGAGCGACCAGAGGTATGTGGAGCAGGCCCAGGACCGGACCAGGCTAACACTGTCGCATTTTGGCGTGGCCTGTGGTCAGAGCCCGTAAACCACAGCGAGGGCCCTTGGACGGAAGTTGTGGCGAGTCAGTGTGCGAGGATTACGCCCATGGACCCCGTCATCATAACGCCGGATGACGTAGCTGAGGCGGTCCGTAGAGCCCCGAACTGGAAAAGTCCGGGACTCGACGGACTGCATCACTACTGGCTGAAGGGGTTCATGGTGTGTCACGCTGTGCTCGCCCGTCAGTTTCAAGAGGCTCTCAACCAGAAGTCGCTCCCTAGCCTCTTCACTACTGGGATCACTCATTTGGTTCCTAAAGACCAGGTTACCACAGACCCGAGCAAATACCGCCCCATTACGTGTCTACCCACCGTATATAAGACACTGACATCCATTTTGAGCGCGAGAATCACTCGTCACCTGGAGCTAAATCAGATGATGTCACGCGCTCAAAATGGATGTCGGGGCGGTGGTCGTGGAACTAAGGAACCACTCCTCATTGACGCGGTCATTGGCAAAGTGGTGAAACGCAACCGTCGGAACTTCTCCGCCGCCTGGATAGACTACAGAAAGGCATTCGACTCGGTGCCCCATACATGGCTAAAGAGAGTCCTCGAGCTGTACAAGATATACTGTACAGTGAGAGACTTCCTCGAGCAGTGTATGGGGCAGTGGAGTACGATCCTCTGTCATCTGGGTGAGCGGATGATGGCTGCGGAGAACCACATAAGGATAAGAAGGGGTATCTTCCAGGGCGATTGTCTGAGTCCAATCTGGTTCTGCCTCTCCCTGAACCCTCTCAGTACCTTACTGGAGGGATCCGGGAGGGGATTTCAGCTTCGAAAAGGAGGGACAAAAGTGACCCACCTTTTATATCTATACCTTAAGTTATTCGCCTCCAGTCGCTCCCATCTTATGGAATTGCTAAACATCACTTGTGAATTTAGCAATTCTATTAGAATGGAGCTGGGGACGGATAAGTGTGCGGTCCTCCATGTTGAGAGGGGAAGGGTTGCTAACTCTGAGGGCATAGATATTTATCTATGCCCGTCAACTTAAGGACCCTTTCCGAGGCTGAAACATACCGATACCTGGGTATGTCACAGAACATCGGTATCGATGAGGCTGGTATGAAACAGTCAGTTTGCGACGTGTTTTATGCACGCTTGACCAAAGTGCTTAATAGCCTTTTGTCCGGTGTGAATAAGACACACGCATATAACGGTTGGGTCATACCTGTCCTTATGTATACCTTTGGCATACTCAGGTGGACTCAGACTGAACTTAACGCCCTGGATAGAAAAGTCCGCACTACCATGACGTCCCATAGGATGCATCATCCGAGATCGTCGGTAATGAGGCTATACTTGCCGCGAAAGCATGGTGGGCGTGGCTTTCTGAGCGCGCTCACTATGCATAATCGTGAAGTGTGCAGCCTCCGTGATTACTTCCTGGCGAGATCGGATGATCCATTCTATAATGACGTCATTTCTAGTGATAAAGGGCTTACCCCTCTATCCTTGGCCAACGAGCAATGGCAGGACCCAGCAGTGCTTAGCATTTCCGACCGGGAGACCGTATGGATGGAGAAGGAGCTCCACGGGAGGTACTACAGGGCTCTACATGAGCCCTTCGTAGATACAGTCGCCTCCCTCAACTGGCTACGTTTCGGTGACCTCTTCGGGGAAACCGAGGGTTTTGTCTGTGCAATACAGGATCAGGTTATTAAGACCAACAACTATCGGAGATACATCCTAAAGGATGGCACCGTCGACGTCTGTCGAGCTTGTCGCCATCCCGGGGAGTCACTTAGGCATGTCATTTTCGGTTGTTCGGCGCTTTCTAACTCTGAGTACTTGCACAGGCACAACCTAGTAGCCAGAATTCTACACCAGGAACTCGCTCTGAAATACGGTCTCGTGGACCGGAAATTGCCCTATTACAAGTACTTGCCGGAAGCCGTGCTCGAAAATGACCGCGCCAGGCTCTACTGGGACCGGGCCATCATCACAGACAGGACTATTCTTGCAAATAAGCCTGATATTGTGCTGATGGACCGGGCACGGTCAAGGATATTTTTGGTCGACATTACCATTCCTTATGACGAGAACCTCGTGAAAGCCGAAACAGATAAGCGAACAAAATATCTGGACCTGGCTCACGAGGTGACCGACATGTGGGGTGGTTGGCCGACCGAAATTATTCCTGTAGTCGTCTCTGCGAATGGGCTAATCCCAGTCAGCCTCTCGGGTCATCTGAGGCGACTGGGACTCCGTGACGGACCGCTCCTGGCTCAAATGCAGAAGGCAGTGGTCCTCGATACCGCCCGCATCGTCCGTCGGTTTCTTTCCCTTTCCCCCTAACCCTCGGCCGTTTGGTCTCCCCCTGCCGAGGGCTTCCATCTGGTTGGATCTTTATTTATTTGTGTATTTTTTGTATTTATTTTATTTTATTGATATTTATGTATATTTATCTTTTCATTTTAATTTATAATTATATATTTATAGAACCCAACCAGATGAGAAAACTATATTGATACCCCCCACATAATAATAATAATAATAATAATTATTTTAGTAGATATTTTGTTTTTGTTTTTTTATATATTTATAGCACCCAACCAGATGAGAAAACTATATAGATACCCCAAAATAATAATAATGTCCTCCAGACTGAATTTCGGCCACGGCGGCCTGCCTCAACGGAGGCTAGCCATCGGCGCAGGACAGGATTATAGTGCCCAAGTGTATGCGCAAGCACAGGTGCATTCTCTATTCTCTCACTCTCATAATCCGATTGGACGGTTAACCGACACGACCAGAGAGAGATCAGGCGCAGGACTAACGGCTTTACGTGCTTTTCGAGGCACGGTTGTGAGACACCACCAACTTCCTGTTTCTTCCAGAAAAACTCAATTGTTAATTTTTTTGGCCCGACCCGGGATTCGAACCCAGGACCTCATGATTAACAGTCGTAACGTACTACAACCACTAGACCAACGAGTCAGCCAAAAGTAGTAAGTAATAAAGCATAATAGTAAGGCAATGTCCGAGTAGTACTGCATATTCTTCTGGTATGTTGCTTTCCTCTAGTTTTCTAGTTACAATTGAGCCGCACTCTTCAACAGGTAGGCATGTAAATAGAGGCTGAACATGAAAACTGACCATGGTTTCATTGTCAGTAGGACGTAGGTCTTATATCTCACTGACAAAATGGTATGAATCTTTAGTGTGTGATAAATGTTAAGCCAATTTGTCAGCGTGCGAATCGATCTGACTCACTATTGGACGTAACGATGAAACGTCGAGAATTAAAAATTGGCACAATTAAACACGATAAAATCCGTATTAGTAGTTTTATTCGATGTGTAATATTCGCGTAAATATAAGAAATCGTTGTGTAAAACTTATTGAATTTACTGCAATTTTAGAGTTAGACTAAATACTTACTTATTTTCTTTTTGTTCTTTTTATTCTCTTATAGTTAAACTTTCAATATGGATTTATTTATACATTTTATTCGTTCTGTTTACATTAGTGGGAAACTTAAATATTAACACATATTTATATACATGGTTTACAAAGGATGAACATTTAATACGTTATACTATTTCGATATTTATATCAAATGAATCAAACACGAAAACTTTTCATCGCTTTTTTTCTGTCAACCTATAATCAACATCACTTTTGTACACAGTATTGTAATCTGTGTTTTTGTGTTTCAGCCCCTGTATTTTACAAAACAATTATATTTATTAGTAATATTTTCCAGTTGTATAATAACTTTTATACTATAAGTTGTAAACAATTGGTAGCATTCTAAGTTCTAAGTTCGATACGTTAAACAAAAGTAAAGATCTAAAAATATATTATCAAAATACACGGGGGGCTGAGAACTAAATGTTTGCAATTAAGACAGCAGATTTTAAGAAATGATTATGATATTATTGTAATAACTGAGACATGGTTGCATAACGGGATTTTCGACGGAGAATTATGTGACGATCGGTATGAAGTTTTTCGGTGTGATCGAGACTTATTATCATGCGATAAAAAGACAGGAGGCGGGGTCATGATCTTAGTGCGTAATGAGTTATGTGCAACTCCTTTAGTCACTGACTGTCTGAATAACTGCTCACCACCTGATATGTTAATGCTGTTAGTACCGACACATGCAATTTCTGCTACTGCAGATTTGTACATTATTGCAATTTACATCCCTCCTAATGTTTCACATATGCCAGATGAAATAGATTACTTACTGCAAACACTAAAATCTGTGGTAATCTCAAATAGTACTGATAAAAATATTTTAGTTATCGGTGATTTTAATCTTCCATGCATCTCATGGAGTACTCAGGGCCCAAAACATTTAAATAAAGGCAATGCTGAAATTAAAAGTGCTGGTGTAAGGTTAACAGATGAACTGAGCTTTCTCGGTCTCAAGCAATATTACAGTTTTAAAAATTATGCCGGTAATACTTTAGATTTGGCATTTTCAAATCTTCCACTTGAAGTCGCAATTTGCAACTCACCCCTTATAAAGGTTGACCGCGCCCATCCTCCGTTAGTACTGGAAATTTTAGACGTCTCAATCACACCGTTTACTGAAGCATCTAAGCCTAAATATGATTTTAATAAAACCAATTATGATAAACTAAATGAAACTCTAAATAGCATCGATTGGCGAACACAATTACAATCTAGCACGGTCCAAGAGGCTTATGATAACTTTTATAATATAATAAATGATGCTATATGCCAACACGTACCACTTAAGTCCTATCATAATAAATATAAATACCCTATCTGGTACAGTCCCGCTTTAATAAAAATAATTAAAGAAAAATCAAAAGCACACAAAAATGGAAACGGTCTGGCAATTTATTAGATTATGACGAGTTTTCATTATTACGTAAACGACAAAATCGGGTTCAGGATGCTTGCTTTGCTATATATACTCAACGTACCGAGGAAGCCATTAAATACAAACCGAGGTTATTCTGGTCATACGTTAAGTCTTTGCGTGGTGGATCGAATTATCCAAAACAATTATCATACCTCGGCAATAAAGTAACGGGTGGTAAAGAAATATGTGATACTTTTAATACTTTTTTCAAAAACGTTTTCGGTGACCCTTCTGATAAAATATTAGAAGAAAGCAATGCCACTTCTACATATGATAATATATCTAAACTATTTATCCCTACATCCACTATTGAGAAAAGACTTAGAATACTTGATATTTCTAAAGGAGCAGGATGTGACGGCATTCCCCCCTTTATTTTGGCGTAACTGTGCTAAAACTTTGTGTGTCCCTATCACTATCATTTTTAATATGTCTCTAGCGAAGTGTATTTCGGATATATGGAAAAGAGCACACATTGTTCTGTACATAAAAAGGAACTACTAAAATTTGAAAATTATAGGGGCATTTCAATTTTAAATATATTGGCAAAGATGAGACATTTATGTGTTACCCGTAATATGTAAGGGACTGCCAAAACCTCAACACGGATTTCTAAGGTATCGTTCTACTATCACTAATCTGGCGTGCTTTTCTAACTATGTTTTGTCTAATATGGATGGAGGCGGTCAGGTAGACGTGGTCTACACGGACTTCGAAAAAGCTTTCGACCGTGTGGACCATGTCATTTTACTGAATAAACTTCAATTGTTAGGCATACATGGAGATTTACTCAGGTGGATAAAATCCTATTTGAGTAACAGATCCCAGGCTGTTGTAATAGGTGGATATAGATCGGACTTTATCAAAATACCAACAGGCATTCCTCAAGGATCACATCTGGGGCCTTTACTGTATAACGCTTATATTCACGATATTACTACTTGTTTTAAGTTTTCACAACATTTAATGTACGCCGATGACAAAAAAATTTTTTACAATATCCGTACTGAGCAGGACTGTCATGAAATGCAAACTGATTTAACCGCTTTATCAGCTTATTATACTGCTAACAACATAACAATTAATATTGATAAATGCGAATGTATTAGCTTCACACGTAAAAAAAAACCCTATTTCATTCTCCTACAATTTTAACGGTATTCCAATACAAAGAACATCTACTGTTAGAGATTTAGGAGTTCATTTTGACAATAAAATGCTTTTATCAGAGCATGTTGACGAAATTGTTAACAAGGCTTTTAAAAATCTTGGATTTATGATGAGAACTTGCAAGCCTTTTAGAGATATTAATACCCTTAAAATTATGTATAATGCTTATGTTCGCAGTATATTAGAATATGCCAGTCCAATTTGGTCTCCCCAATACGCTACTTATAAAAATCGTATAGAACGCATACAGGAAAAATTCATCAATTATCTAAATTATCGTTTTTTCAAATCACCACTTGTAACCTATGAAAATACTTGTCAATCTTAAAATTTATTGACACTCGAAAACAGACGTAAATTAATGGACGTATGTTTTTTGTATGATATTGTCCGTGGACAGGTAGACTGCCCTGAGTTGGTGGCGAGCATAACATACAAAGTACCGTCGCGTCGTGTCCGCCGTCGGCCGCACCCTTTATTGCATGTGCCGTTTGTTGGCACCAATTATGCACGTAATGCGCCTATAAACCGAATGCTCAGGACATACAATGAGATCTTTAGTGATATAGATCTCTTTGTTTTTAGTAAACCAGCCTTTAAAGCTAAAGCTCTTAAAATTCTAAATGAGGTGCAAAACGAGTAAATAATTTGGATTTGCTTAATCATGATGATCATCATTACATTCCCTTCATAAGTCCACTGCTGAACGTGGACCTCCCCCAGGGAATGCCACAAGGCACGATTCTGAGCCGCATTCGTCCGTCGACTTCCTATATGTCTTACCAGGTCGTTACTCCATCTAGTAGAACTCCCTACACAAAAATAAATAAATAGTAATGAACATAAATCAACTCTATTATAATATGAAAATGAATTCATACTTTGCATCATTTACTATAATCATTTCTTACTTGATTGTTGAGTGTAAATCTGACATAAGTGTAACGGTTTAGAAAAATAAATAAATATACAGGTGTGATATTTCATATTTCATTAAATTAAATTACATAAAAGAATGTTCTGCTGGCTGCATGTAAAAATTTTGCAGAGAAATAAATAAAACAAATATTACTTCTACATACACATATACAAAAGTGTAATTAGTATAAACATTTAGTTACATATCTGTGAACATATTACATATATATATATATATATATATATATATATATATATATATATATATATATTATTGGATTAGTACATACATATTATAATAAATCCAAAGAATAGTTAAATTGTACCGTCCATAATATATTTTGTTTATATAACTGAAAAAACCTTTAATATGCCTTACATTTAAGCTGTATACTTTAAGTCCTTAAAATTGTTAAATCGCTGTTGGTTTTTTTTTAAATAAATAAAAAAAATAGTTTTCTATCTTTTTATTTACTTATAGTTTTAAAATATCAAATACATTACAAAACTGCGTAAACTAGAAATGTATTTATATGGATTCCGTAATCATTTACATAATATTTTCTTATTTCTTAATTTTTACCAGGTAAGGGTCCTGGATATGCATCACCTTTGGACGCGTTCAGAAATGGGCCAAGAGAAAAACTTCTGTATGTTGTCTGCGTACAGCCTAATCTTACTAAACAAGATTACTTAGCTACTGTGGATGTTGATCCTGATTCGCCTACATACAGCCAGGTTTAGATATTTGGATATGATGATTAATTTACAAATAATTCTTAATTTATTCAAAATGATTTATTTAAATAACGACAAATGATGGCGGTATATTCATCAGAAAATAATGAACCCAAATCCCATATTAGACTGAATGCCGGAACAGCATCATCATTAGGACGGTATCGGCTCTATGCTTACCATCCCTTGCTACCTCATCCATGCCCAGCGAGATGCTTACCGGGTAAATCTTACAAAATTTTCATGAAAAGGCCTACAGCATACATATACAGCAGTTGATTTAAATGTGCTGTAAAGAAGAGGAGGAATAAAGCCTTAATTAATTGTAAATAAGAACAATTATCTCATATTATACAAACAAAATCTCCGAATTACACATCAAAATTTTTTTAGTAATAAGTATGTAAGGTTATACTTTATAAACTAAAATAAAAGTAAGGTTATATAAAGTTCGGAAATAGATGAGTTGAGTCGATACGGGATAGATAATGGTCTAAAAACATACCAATGGAAAATACGGAGTTACAATTTTTGGAATCGAGGGTTTCTATCTTAAATATTGACAAAGTACTCATATTAATTCTTTATCTTAAATGAATTATAGTATCCATAGAAAATATTGACAGTCTTTACTACCCTATTTTTGATCTTCTTTTCTTTTTTTTGATCTTGATTCTTCGACGTAAGATTTTCGACGATCAATTATTTTTTCTTACATTATTTATCTGGGGGAGGGAAACATTGCGTATGATTCGCTTTTCTACATTTTTTAAAGCAATAATATTTACATACTCGTATATTTATGTAATAATTGTTGTTATCATTCTACAAAACGTTTCTAGGTAATTCATCGCACTTACACTGGTAGTTTGGGTGATGAACTTCATCACAGTGGCTGGAATGTGTGTTCCAGCTGTCACGATAATCCAGATCTAAGCAGGAACCTTCTTTTACTACCCGGTTTACATTCATGCAATATTTACGTTATTGATGTTGGCAGCAATCCTAGGAAACCCGAGTTGCACAAGGTAAACTCAAATTATATAGTGATATTAATTCAAAACTAATGTCGAAACTTATTACAATATTTAATAAAGTATTTTTAGCATTCATCTACCCATCCATCCATTACAGCCCACAGAAATCCACTGCTGGACATAGACCTCCCTTATAGATTGCGTCATGGGGGGATTTTGCCATAGATTGCACGCTTGACATGCTGGTTGGCAACCGCAGTTTTTTTATTATTTTGAGTTGATATCAGGAACATTCTGCCGCCCATTTTCAGTTTCAGTTTCCCTCTGTCGCCTGTTACGGTAACCACGGGACGATTTGGGGTAATGGATACATACATACATACATAAACACTCACGCCTGTCACCCAGAGGGGTAGGCAGAGACTACAGACTTCCATTTAGCACGATCCTGACATACCTTTCTCGCCTTTTCCACATCCATATACCTACGCATACATGCTCGTCGGTTAAGGGTACTCCTAATTTGGCCCATTTTTAATATATCGCCAATTTGGTCGACAAACTTCCGCCTAGGACGTCCCTTTCCGACTCTTCCATTCACTTCTGCAACATGTATTTGCTTTGTCAGTCTTTCCGCATTCATTCTTTCTACATGACCAAACCACCGAAGCATTCCTTTCTTAATCCTGGTCACCGTCACTTTCCTAATCTTGCAAACCACACTCTTCTTTTATCACACAGTTTCTCACCCTGTCACTCAGATTCAGCCCTAACATACTCCTTAGCGACCGCATTTCTACTGCATTTATTCTACTCTCGTGCTTCTTCTGCCACACCCAACTTTCACTGCCATACGTTAAAGTAGGGACTAATACAGCACTGTGAATTGCCATACGGGTAATGGATATCCTAACAAAAACTAAAAAAATAAAAATGCGATAATATAAACTAGAGGATATTATTACCTCCAAACTTAGCAGATGTTATTTATTGGAAGTGTCTATCAAATGTGACGAACTGTCGCTAATATTAATGTAACTGTCATCTGTAAACACATTATAATTTATATACCTATGAACTATTTGACTGAAGTAAAAAACGAACGTGACATTCCACATAATTGTACGTACGTAAACCATGTAAAGGTTACCACAGTCTTTAGATATCTAGTAGCAACTTCAGTCAAAAGAGGCGCTGTCATCCTTGAGGACTAGATGGGATGTTTCACAGCCTGTAATTATTGGCTTTCTACACACTGCAAACGGGAACGGCACGGCGGCAGAAGTAGGTAAGAGGGTACCTAACCAGTAGGACTCCTAAGCTGGAAACCAGTCCTATTGCGTAGAATACGCTTCATATTTTATCTTCTTCATGCATGAGTTAGAGAAGTTATGTATGAATTTTAAATATCATATTATAAAATCTAGAAAATAACGGTCTAATACTAATAAGTTTTAAATATTAATAATAATCAATAAGTATTTTAAATATATTTCAAAATGCGCAAATGAGGTATAAGAACTTTTTATTGTTCGGTACTAATTCTAATTAGAATAAAATATTACTAAATGTGAATCTCAAGCCACTTCTTGTAACTTGTTGAGCGTAGTTTAACTTTATATCTGTGGTTGTATCGAAACGTTGTATGGTAACTTCTGCGTTTCCCCAGATATTGATATAACTTATAAGTTTTTTATGTTAGCGTCATATGTGAATTTTGAATTTTTAAACTATAAAACCATATGTTTGAAAAAATCTTAGCTACAAAATTAAAATTAAGAAACAGACAGAGAATACGAACATTTCCAACTACATAAATGAAGTGTTAAATAAACTACGTAGTACATTTTTAATTTATTTATAAATTAATATAAGTAACGTTCATAACTAATACCATTGTAGTTGTACCATTAAGCTTAAAATGCCTGTGTTAAGAATGGTTTTTTTCAGTAGTCAAAGAACGTCGGATTCAAGCCCATGATCTTTTGAATTTTGCAATCCGTACCCTAACTATTAACCGCTATACAAACATTTAAAATGTATAGTTAAAAAAAGTAAAGTTACAGCCTATAATTTAAACCCTCTCAGAAATGAGGGGAGACCTGTGCCAAGCAGTGGGGCGTAAAAAAAAATTAAAATTTAGTTGAAGTAAAATAAACATTATACGTGTTGTGGTTGTGGAAGTGGGTGCTCACCAACCCACTAGTCTAGCGTAGTAAATATAGACAAATCTTCAAACTCATGCATACCAGTTGATGCTTTCTTGGATATATACATAATATTATGTCTAACAATGTATTTAAGTATATACTCGTAGCTGTTGTAGATGACTGTGATAAAAAATATTTAAGTGAAATTTCGTTATCGACGTAGTGGAGAAATTAAGTACGTTATAAAACAAAAACGTCACATTTTCTTGTAACGTTTCGCTGCCGGTGCTGCATGAGTATACAGTTATTTAACCTTATGTAAAATATAAAATTAAAAGGTAAAAAATGATATGTCGGAAAGAAGTTTCACTTCGTACGTGTGTACACAATAAATTGCACAATTTCTTTAAGAATAGTATTTTTTCCATTGATGGAATGAGTGAAACAAATTAATTAATTAAATTGTCTTTTAAAAGTGAAAGAGAAACATAGTTTATCGTTTAACGGATTTACACACCTTTGCTCATGATGTCTTTTCTGTCATTATGAACATATTTATAATAAAAAAACAATCTGTGTTAAAAAATACCTCGATTGGTTGATATTGAGATGTTTTTGCCATTTAGGTAATTGACGGTTCAGAAATGAAATCATTCAACTGTACGTTTCCCCATACCACACATTGCCTAGCAAACGGCGATATAATGATTTCGACTATGGGAGATAAAAATGAAAATGGAAAGGGAGATTTTGTACTTGTCGATTCAATAACTTTAAAAGTAAAAGGTATTTTTATTTGTAAATAATTTAACGGTTTACAACACAGGATGACTTAATTTACAAAAAAAGAAACTTTATATGACTTTATATGTTATAGGAACGTGGACTGCCGGCAACAAATTAGCTAAATTTGGATATGATTTCTGGTATCAACCGTATCACGATGTTATGGTTGCATCAGAATGGGGCAATCCTAAACATTTTAAAACGTAAGTTTCTATATTTTTTAGCATTTATTAATTCTGTAAATAAATGCACTTTGTGGGAAAAAAAATTAAAAAGCTCAAATAAAAAAAATTATAAACGCATGTTGTAGAGGCTTTCACCCTGAAGACATTCCTAATAAAGAGAGATATGGAACTTCGCTCAATGTTTATAAATGGTCTACACATGAACTAATTCAAGTTATAGACTTAGGTAAAGAAGGGTGTGCACCGCTCGAGATCAGGTTCCTCCATGATCCTAAATCCTCGCAGGGATTTGTTGGATGTGCCGTAGAGGCCAACGTATACAGGTATGAGATTTAATAAAGCTTTGGCAGATTTGGTTTCAAGTTTAGGGCAATTGTAATTTACTTTTATTGAGAGTTAGACGTAATAATTTTTAATAATGTAGGTTTTACAAAGCTTTAGATGGAACATGGAAAGCCCACAAAGTAATTGATATACCGACTAAAATAGTTCAGGAAAATGGTGTGAACACACAACTAAATGGTAAGATTTAATTATTCATTTTTAACTAAATAAAACATTTTTATGTTTTCAAAAATAATAAACAAGTAATATATTTTATAATACCTGTTTTCTTTAGGTTTAATATCAGATATTCTCCTGTCTTTGGATGATAAATATCTGTACTTGTCGTGCTGGTTACATGGTGATGTAAGGCAATATGATATATCAGATCCGGAACACCCTAAACTAACTGGCCGTGTTTGTTTCGGAGGAAAAATAGTAAATGATAGCTTAACAGTTATTGAAGATAAAGAGTTTCAGGTAAGTACTCGTGTTGGTTAAATTTTTATTCATATATTCATTTATTTTTCTATGCGTGGCAAAACTGCATTTTCCATGCTGTAACATAAATTGGTTGGCTCAAACGGGAAGGACCGTGCTCTCACAGACTAACAGCGTCAAATAGCAACTTATTGCTTCTGTCTTTCGTATGGTGAGTGTAGACAGCTGGAGACCATTTTTACTGGAAACAAAGTATTCCATCTACATAAGTTCTCAGGGGAGACAACACATCTGCATTTTAATATTAATTGAGGATAAATGTAGACGTCAATTGAACTGATCCACTTACCATCAGGCGAACTGGTTATTCTTTTGTCACCTTTATTACCTCTTCTTCTCATATTTTAATTTCAATTATTTTAAAAATACCTAAATATTTTATACTAGTAAATAAAGATTGATTATTTTTTGTTTCGCATATATATCTGTTGTATAGTTGTTGTGCTATCGGCAAAAATCCCTCCAACCTATGAAGCAATTTATGGAGGTCTATGTATCTACAGTTATATAGTAGAATGTCATAACATTGTTAGTTAAGTATGTTAATATATTTGTGGAATTAAAATATATAAAAATATAAGAATTAAGCTGTTCTTAAATGTTATTAAGGTGAAGAACATATAAACAAAAAATATAAATATAATGATAAACTTATCTTTTAAGAATATAATAAACGGCAATCAAGAGTTTATTTATCTACGAATTATATAAACAGGAGCCGGTGAAGCCAGTAATTATAAAGAATAAACAATTGCCCGGGGCGCCACAAATGCTTCAACTTTCTTTAGACGGTAAACGTCTATACGTATCATCATCTCTCTACTCTCCGTGGGATAAACAAATTTATCCAAAATCTATAGAAAAGGTATGATAACTTAAATTATACGAGATTGGTAAATTTCTATTTTAGATTTTAAACCCATGAAATAACCGTCAAAAATAAATATATTTCAGGGTGGATGGATAGTTAAGTTAGACGTGGATACAGAAAATGGAGGGTTAAAATTGGATCCCGATTTCTTGATAGATTTTGGAATTGAGCCAAATGGACCAGTACTACCGCATGACATGAGGTAATATCATGACGGTATTATGTAAAGTTTGTGAAAATTTTTGTAACATATGAAATTTTACTCCATCTTTATCCTTTTTTCAACCGTAAACAAACCTATTATATTTCTTTTTTAAAATAAGGTATATTATTATTACAAGAAAGCAACCACAACGACAGCTTCGCGTAAGTGAAGATCTTTTAATGAGGCGTCATTTAGATTTATTAAATAACCATCAATGGCCATTTATTTTATCAAATTCTTTGTTTATACAAAAAAATACACCAAATATTATACGTAAAATATAGCCTGGATTACTCTTGCGATATTATCTTTGTCAGGTTTCATAACAATTGGTTCAACAATTCCAAAGACCAGTCTGCAGAGACATACAGATAGATAAAATTTTTAAAATAATATTCATGTCTGAATGGATTGCAAATAACCCCGTCAACTCAGTAAAATTCAGTTATTTTGATATAACAGACGTACACTTTGGTCTCATTTAAATCTATATATAAATATTTTACTGATAAAACTACATTTTGTTATTTATATTTGTGCACTACTTACACGATACAAGAACCCTAGGGTGCAGGTAGCTTTTAAATAAATATAAAAGTTTAACGTACACTGTCAATAATTCGCGGATAATATAGCGGCAATTTTTTTCATCCTAAATAATAATCAGTTTCTAAATATTTTATATTTTGCAGTTCTATACAAACTTTCTTTCAATGCTATAAACAAGCTATAAAAACGGTAATGTAGGTCATGATGTCTCGAAGGCCTTGGACGATGTTTGGCACACTAGCCTTTTAGGCGAGCTTTTATCGTAAGACTTATCGCCTGATGTAATTGGCTAGGTGAAGGACCGATTCGCACGCTACACGCACTCAGTTTCTGTCGGTCGCCATGCCATGCCACAGTTTATCGCTCTGCTTAACAACGGTGTATCTTCAATCGATGTCCGTCTATTCAAACAGATATCGTTTCAATGACAGATGTTGCCAGTCCATGACTATTCAATTTGAAAATACGAAAGACTTTACCGGTGATTTAAGTTGTCTGACGGATTTTCACATTATGATCGTACTTCTATGCCTCTCTGAACTACAATTTTTTGGAGTAGTCAAGTCATCAGTGTCTACATTTCAGCAGCATAGGATGAAAATAATTTATATAATGGTTAATGACAAAGTAAAAGGACCGGGCAATCAGTTTTTTATTGCTTTACAGATATCCTGGAGGAGACTGTACTTCAGATATATGGCTACCTGAAAATTGTTAAATTTTCGCGCTTAAATATAAAATATTTTCTTTAAATATGTTTGTAAAGCGATAAGCGTATGCATGTATCATTTATTTAATTAAGTAATAAAAATAATCTTCGTTATTAATATTATTTTCTATGTTATTTTACTATTTAATTCTGTGTCACCCAAAAGTGTTCCAACTGTATCATTCCATTCCATCTTAATCCTTAAAGATGACAACGCATATGTGATATATATCAATTTTATTTTTAATTTTAATTTTGATGTATTTTTTTTCAATCTTTTAACTGAGACTCTTAAAAATGACTTAATAATTAATATATAAGTAAGATTTTTAGAGTGACAGTATAACGCTTTCAGATACGAGTATCAACATTATCATCATTACACCCTAACATAAATCCGCTGCTAATTATTGGCACCCCATGGATTGAAGGGACTCTCATATATACGAGATTTTAGTATTATAAAACAATTGAATAAAACTACTTTTACGGATTTTATCCCCCGTAACCATGGGTGCTGGAAAGCACCCGAAACGTCGGGAATTAAAAATCAAATAAATTGAACGCGATAAAACCGTAAAAGTAGTTTTAATCAATGTGTAGTGTTCGCGTAAATATAAGAAATTATTATTATAAAACAAAATTTATTTTTTGTAAATTGCATAAAATATCCAATAACAGAAGGGGTGTGATAATATATGCCGAACGATTTGAATTCAAGTGATGTGCAAACTTCCGATCTTCCGATCCTAAATCTATTGACATGGAATTAATACGGCCGGTAATAAATCTAATGCAAATTTTAAAGACTTTCTAAAGTATATATACTTACGATATTTAGCGTTCATGAAACAATAAATAAATAATATTATTTACTATTTTTAATTTATATGTGTTTTACTTTTTTCACAAAGAAAGATTAAAAAACAGAAAAAAAAACTAATTAAACGTTTTTTTCTTACAATACAATAAATCTATACGATGAAATCGTTAATTCTGAGTAGGAACTTCACTACTGGTTCTCAGATTCCAAGTTCAAGGAGCCATAAGCCAACATTTATTTAAGAACACATTAACCGTCCGTCAGTTTTTAGGATTTTAATGTATTGTACTGTTGGTTTACTTCCAAAGTTATAACGTAAATGTTCCATCGAACAAGTATGTAGATTAGGAAACTTAAATGTCTCTGTAATTTTATATAATTATAGGCGAACTTCTACAAAAGTTATCATAACGGCTGTGATCGATATAAAGACCATCATCAACTTCCTGAAAGACAGGAAGTTACTGTGAACACAGGGTGTAAAACTATTACTACCACTAAGATAAACTAAAGGTATCAAAATAATTGCGTTTATTTTGACATTATTATTTATAAAAAATGCAGTGATAGGCTAGGAAACCATAAAGTTAAGAGAATGGAGTTATTATTAAAATTATTTGACTTTCTCTTCTGAAATTCTGGAAATGTTGCAACTTTGGTAAGAAGCTACGAAAATTATAATTTGTAAGTGTAAAAATTGTTTGTGCTGTAATCTGTAATGCGCAAAATCCATGTTAAAATACATGCAGTACAATAACAAATTAAGTTCAATAATAGTCACAGCTGTTTGTGCATACTTTTTTACTATTTGAAGTTTCCATTCGTTTTGTATCAATATCGGGTGAGTACCTTTATTTTCTAAACGATTGTATAAAGGAGCAGGCGGGTTGCAGCGAATTGCAGAATTGTGGTTGAAAAGATATTCAAAGTGTTAATAAGAGATCAGTACCTGCGTGATCAAGATTTGAACGGCGTTAGAAACAATGACATTATACCTCTTTTTCTTATCATTGTTTAGAAATCATTTTTTCTCACGGATAACACCTATGTGTATAAATTTGAAACCGAAATCTTAACAGTTTCTCAACAGGGAACAGGGAAAGGGTTAAAACAAAATTTTATTCAAATCGTTAGGATATATTTCAGAGAAACCAATTACTTAAATTAACAATTACAAGTGTTTATATGAATTAAAGTATTGCTCTCATTAAATTTCTTTATTAAATAAGTATTATACATGTAAACTAAGATATTATAGAAAATTTAACATTATTTAAGTCCAATGGAAATAAATCCTGCCTGATGCTCTCGAGGGATTAAAAGTAATCTAAGGACTGACTATTTTTCTTTTACTGAAAATTAGTTTGGAAAATAATTTCCAGCTATTTATATAAAAGGTAATCTTGAAATTGTAAAAGTAAAATTATAAAAAAGTTACAGCCTATATACGAGTACGTTCGACTATTGGAGACAGGTTTTCTCTCATTTTTGAGAGGATTGGAGCAATAAACCCGCCGCGCTTTTTCAGTGCGTGTTGGCGAACATCAAATTTTTTCAGAATATTTTTATTCCTCTGACATAGAGATTTCCTAGTCTTTTCCTTCACCGCTGTGAACGCCATAAATAAGCAATCAGAATATTAATAAACAATTTCATTGATGCCGGCGGATTATAGCCGGGTTGAAAACATATATTTAAAGTGTCTGTGTTTTTAATCCAGGTTAATAATAAATTTAATTTCCATGCACTTCTATTATGTTATTAATTTAAAAAAAAATGTATAAATACTGTAGCAAATTGAATAAACGTAAATACAAGGATTGAATAAAACTAAATTTACGGAATATATCGCGTTTATTTAACTGATTTTACTTATTTTTAATTCCCGACGTTTCGGGTGCTTTACAGCAACCATGGTCACGGGGGGGAACTGAGATGTTTGACGTCCCAATGTCATTGTTAGCCCGGCTACCTTCAATTTTTGAATATTAATTTTTGGTCCGATTTACGCAAAACGAACTTACACTTACCCGAAACGTGGGGAATTAAAAATAAGTAAAATCAGTTAAATAAACGCGATATAATCTGTAAATTTAGTTTTATTCAATGTGTAGTGTTCGTGATATTTATTCAAAATTTAGTTTTTTTATACAATTTATCGTTTTTATTAATTCTGATTTAAATTCATACTAAAAAGTTTCTGGTCAAAAAGGTGTACCTAACCATAGCGTTCCTTTACCGTAACCTTTTCGTTTACCTTGACCATCGGTTTTATGCCTAGAATATAATACAGCCGGTGCGCCGTTGGGTTCCATGAAAGAGCCATACATCATGGCACTCGATGTTTTATCCTACTGTTTGCTATCGGTCAGCCGCTTATTTGCCGTACCTATTTATTCAATTTTTTATCATCATTCGTTTTATATAGGACCAAGTGGCGACTCAGAGAATTTTATATACGTAATTTTTTCTTCATCGTCCGAAATGAGGTACCTTGAGGATCACCAGCTGATTATCGATCGCCAATGCGGTTTTCGCCGTAGTCGATAAACCGGTGATCTTCTGGTCTACTTAACTCATAGATGGGCGGAGCAGTAGAGTCCAAGGGGGAGGCATTGGCTGTTAGTTTGGACATTGCGAAGGCCTTCGATCGGGTTTGGCACAAAGCGCTTCATTTGAAGCTGCCTTCCTATGGGCTTCCCGAGAAATTGTGCAATTGGATCACCAGCTTTCTTGCAGATCGGAGCATCAAGGTTGTTGTAGACGATGCAAGCTCCGATTACAAGCCTATCAATGCTGGTGTTCCAGAAGGCTGCGTGCTATCGCCAACGCTGTTTGACAATTAACTAATAATTAACATTCATTGCTATGCAGACGATGGCACTGGTGATGCTCTGTACACCGGTCGTGCCAATATTTCTCAGAAAAACGTCTCCGAGTACCGGAACAAACTGACTGAAACTGTGTCTGAAGTCGAGTCTTTGCTAACACAGAGTCTCGGATTGGGGGTGAATAAATCTAGTCTAGTTTAATCCTCAGGAGACACAAGTTTGCGAGTTAACCGCTAAAAAGAACCCCTTTGTCGCATATCCTCAGTTTCAAGGCACTCCTCTTGTTGCCTCAGCCAGTATAGGAATCCTTGGCGTCGACATATCGAGTGACGTGCAGTTTCGTGGTCACTTGGAGGGGAAGCCCAAATTGGCCTCTAAAAAGCTTGGAGTGCTCAGTAGAGCGGGACAGTATTTAATGCCGACACACCGCCTGCAAATTTACAAGGCGCAGGTTCGGCCGCACATGGAATACTGTTCCCATCTCAGGGCTCCGCCAAGAGCTCCCCAGTGCCAGCTCCTTCCACTTGACCGCATCCAGCACAGAGCGTCGATCGTCGAATCGTCGACGACCGAGTGCTTTCCGATCGGCTCGATTCACTGGCGCTGCGAAGAGATGTTGCATCTCTTTGAATTTCCTTTCGCATATACCATGGGCTCTGAGAAATTGTTCGAATTAATCCCAGCTGTCAAATTTCGTGAACGCACCACGCTGCAAACGTCCCGATACCATCCACACCATCTGGATGCTTGGAGGTCCACCACTGTACGTTTCACAAGGAGTTTTCTTCCGCGTACGACCTCTCTCTGGAATAGTTTTCCACCGACGATTTTTCCGGACCGATACGACCTGGGAACCTTCAAGAAAAGAGCTTACTCATTTCTAATGGGCTGGCAATGCACCTGCGATTCCCCTGATGTTGCGGTTGATCATGGGCGGCGGTAGTCACTTAACATCAGATGAGCCGCATGCTCGTTTGCCCCCTCTTCTATAAAAGAAATATTGGCAGTCATTGCCAATCTTCTTAAAGATATTGTCGTTGTTACTAAAGAAAAATTAACTAAACGGAGATCTAGAAACACAGACAGATAGTCTATGTACTTAAAACCCACGATAACACGTACATGTAACAAGAACACGATAAAAAGTATTATATTCACTTGAATGTCGGTACTGCTCTATTAAAATAATTTATCTATTGCCAATAACGGGTACCCTGCACCTATTGAACGGGCATGCGCATATTTTCAAATGCGTTACAATTTGTTATTTTACAATGTAGTTCCGTTTTATTGGGCATGTGATTCGTATATATCGTCCGTGCCTGATACGTTCATAGCACCATTATGGCATGTAA